TTATGATAATAATGATGAAGGAAATAATAATTATAGTATGAGAATAATAATAACAATAAGTATAAAAACGATAATGACAATATTAACAATAATACTGATAATAAAAACAACGATAATGATAGACAGATATGTATAATAATGATTATAGTAATTATGATGATAACAATGGCAATACCAATGACAAAGATAAGAAAAATAGAAAATGAAGAAGAGGAAGAAGAACAAGAAGCAGATGAAGAAGAAGAAGAAGAAGAAAAAAAAAGAAGAAGATGAATGGGAAGAAGAAGAAAAAGAAAAAGAGAAGGAGGAGGAGGAGGAAGGAGAGGAGGAGGAGGAGGAAGAAGAAGAAGAAGAAGAAGAAGGAAAAGAAGAAGAAGAAGAAGAAGAAGAAGAAGAAGAAGTAGAAAGGGGAGGAAGAAAAAGAAGAAAGAAAAGAAGAGGAAAAAGAAAAGTCGCAAAAAATAGAAATAAAAAGAAGTCGCAAAGAAGGAAAATCATTTGGAAAAAAGAAGAAAAAGATAGAGAAAAGCGATAAGAAGATAGCGATGAAGATAAGCGAGACGTAAATGAAGACGGAAGAGAAAGAAGAGATAAGATCATAAAAAGAAGAAAAAAATCGAAAAAAGAGAGAAAATGCGGAAATAGAGAAGAAATACGAAGATGGGGAAAAGATGGAGATGGTGAAAAGGAGAAAGAAAGGGGGTGAAAAGGATAGGTAGATGATAATGCGAGATAATTGAGGGAAGAAGGAAGGACGAGAATGGTGAATGAAAGTGGAGGGGATGAGGAAAAAGATGATAACGATGAAAGGGAAGAAAATAGAGAAGAATTGGATGTCTGGGAGGAAGAAGGCGAAGAAGAAGAAGAAGAATTGGAAGATTGAGAAGAAGAAGGAGAAGAAGAAAGAGGAGGAGGAGGGAAGGAAGAAGAAAAAGAGATAACATGATATAAAAGGAAAGAAGACGAAATCCTTCTTTTTCTTCTTTTTTTTTCTTTTCTTCTTTTTCTTCTTCAGAGAGACAAAGCTTAAGAAAGAGAGAGAGAAGAGAGTGAGAGAGACAGAGACAGAGACTAAGCGAGAAATTGAAAGAGAGAGAGAGAGGGAAAAAGAGAGAAAGAAAAAAGAAAACAGATAGAAAGATAGATATAGATGAAAGAGAGAAGAGCAGAGAGAGAGACAGAAACTAAGCGAGAAATTGAAAGAGAGAGGGAGAAAAAAGAGAGAAAAAAAAAGATAAATCGATAGACAGAGAGAGCGAGAGAGAGAAAGAGAGATCTTCATCACCTACCTGGGAGAGAGAGAGAGAGAGGGAGAGAGAGAGAGAGAGAGAGAGAGAGAGAGAGAGAGAGAGAGAGAGAGAGAGAGAGAGAGAGAGAGAGAGAGAGAGAGAGAGAGAGAGAGAGAGAGAAGAGAGAGAGAGAGAGAGAGAGAGAGAGAGAGAGAGAGAGAGAGAGAGAGAGAGAGAGACAAGAAGAAGAGAGAGGAGGAGAGAGAGAGAGAAGAAGGAGGGAGGAGAGAGGAGAGGAGAGAGAGAGAGAGAGAGAGAGAGAGAGAGAGAGAGAGTTGAGAGAGCAGAGAGACAGAAAGAGAGAAAGAGAAGAGAAAAAAAAAGAAAGAAAGATAAATCGATAGATAGAGCGAGAGCGAGAGAGAGAGAGATCCTCATCACCTACCTGATAGATTCCAGCACCTGTCATTATCTAATCACCGGGATATGATGACTACAGAATCTAACTCCCCGGGCGAACCTCGTTATTAAGACGCCAATTTTCGATCGCCAAGAAATTTCTTCTCCGAAAATTTTGAAGGAGGGATGCTGTGCGGCGGGGGTGGGGGGTGGGGTGGGGGGGTGAGAGGGGGTTGTAGGCCTTATATTAAGGGAGGGGGAGGGAAGTAGGGGTAAGGAGGGGAGGGAGGGGAGGGAAGTAGGAGGTAGGGAGGAGGAGAGGAGGGGGTAGGGGCTAGGTAGGGGTTAGAGGGAGGGGATGGGGGGTAGGTAGGGAAGGGGGGGGGGGTGTAGAGATTAGGGATTAGGAATTAGGGAGGAGAAGGTGATTGTACTTAATTTGTGTGTGTTTAAGAAATTGATGGATTGGTAATCATTAAATTATATCTACATCTATTTCTATATTTACCTGTCTATCTGCTGGTCTATTAAGGTATCTATTTATCTGTCTTTATTCATCTACCTAGTTATTATCTGTCTCTTAATCAATGTCTTCTTACCTGTCTATCTATCTATTATCAGTAGATCTATCTATCTATCAATATATCTGTCTAATTCTACATATGCATTTTGATACATACATAGATTTATTTATTTATTTTTGTCCATTTTCATTTTATTTTTATTTTTTTATTTTTTTCATTATTTTTTTTTTTATTGTCTGCTGTACGTACTTTGTTTTTTTTGTCTCTGCCTGTCTGTTTGTGCGTGCGTGAGTGCGTGTGGTTTGTATGTATGTATGTGTGTGTGTGTGTGTGTGTGTGTGTGTGTGTGTGTGTGTGTGTGTGTGTGTGTGTGTGTGTGTGTGTGTGTGTGTGTGTGTGTGTGTGTGTGTGTGTGTGTGTGTGTGTGTGTGCATATATAAACTAACGTTGGAATATGCAACACATTCACACTGATAACAATATGGCTAATTGATCTGACTATTAAATGTGTATATTACGTCGTTAGTGATTTTTTTTTCTTTAATTATCCCCCTCCCCCCCCCCCATTTTCCGACCTCTCTCCCCTCCCGACTTACGTAATTTCCTTTTTTTCTCATTATCCTTCTCCTCTTCCTTTTAACTCTCTTCCTTTCCCCATTTTCCCATTCTCCTCTCCTCTCTATTTCCTCCCACCTTCCCCTCCCCCCTCATCCTCAGCTATAAGCATGATCTAATTCGATACAAAAGCGAAGAAGAAGAAGAAGAAGAAAGAAGGAAGAAGAAAGAAGAAATGAAGAAGAAGAAAACAGAAAGAAGAAAGAAAAAAGATGAAGAAGAAAGAAAAAAGAAAAAGAAAAAAACTCGAACTCAGAACCTGTTAGAAGTAACTTAGAATCACAAGTAAAATCATAAGTAATCCTTCCGAGAGGGTTTTACTTATATAAAAAAGACGGACTGTTGGCTACTTATATTTACTTATACATGTCGATACGTTTTTTTTTATCGAAATACTAGCTACCTATATATATATATATATATATATATATATATATATATATATATATATATATATATAATACATATATATATATATATATATTATATATATATATATATATATATTATATATATATAAATATATATATATATATATATATATATATATATATATATAGAGAGAGAGAGAGAGAGAGAGAGAGAGAGAGAGAGAGATAGAGAGAGAGAGAGAGAGAGAGTTATATATAAGGAAACAGACAAATTCACAGTAACACCCGCCTTATATACAGAACACGCACACAAACCATACACACGCACACAAATTCCCCCGCCCCCCCCCCCCCCCACACACACAACGTACACATGCACACACATACGCGCCCCCTTCACACACACACACACATACAAGCCATGCGAACACACAGTCCCCCTCCCCCTTCAAACACTTGCACACACGACACCCCCCCCCACACACGATACACCCCCTCACACACACACCACACACCCCCCCCCCCACACACGATATACACCCCCTACACACACACACAACGAACCCCCCCCACACACACGATACACCCCCCTCCACACACACGTACACACACACACACACACACACACACCACACCTGTCTGCAGTGACCGCCTATCAATCAACGCTATGATTGACGGGGCTTAGTATCCCCCAACTCCCCACTCCCCCATCCCCCCTGAGGCTATGGTGTGTATGTGGAGGGGCGGGGGTGGGGGTGGGGGTGGCTATGGTGATGATGACGGTGATGGGAGATGAAGATATCAAATCTTACGAAAGCCAGATTCTTTGGTGGGTGTAGGGGGGGAGGGGGTTGGGGGTGAGGGAGGGGTTGGGGCGTGGGGGAGGGGGGGAGGGAGGTCTTCCTTTGTTTTTCTCCTTTTTACCTTTCTTCCCCTTTTTCGTTTCTCTTTTTCTTGCTTTGTTTTTTTCTGGGGGGGGGGGGGGAGGGGAGGGAGTTCTCTTACGCTTTCCTCGTTTTCTCTTTTCTATCTTTCTTTCCTTTTTTTCATTTTTCTTTCTTAAATTCTCTGCTGATTTTCTTTACCTTAAATTTCCTTTTCCTTTTTTTTCTTATATTCTTCTCATTTTCTTTAATTTTCCTTCTTTCTTCTTCATTTCTTATTAAATCTTCCTTCCGCCTTTCCCTCCCTTTTCTTTTCCCCTTTTCGTATCCACCATCTTCCTTCCCCCTCTTCTTTTGCCATCTCTCTCTCTTCCCTTTTACCCCATTTTACTTTTTCCTCTCCCATCTCCCTTATTCCACTTCTCCCTCTTCCCTCTTATACCTTCTCCTCCCATCTCCCTTACTCCACCTCTCCCTCTTTTTTTTCTCTTCCCATCCTCATCTTCCTCCTTCTCCCTTCTCTGTCTTTAATTTTCTAATCATCCTCCTCCTCTCCCTATCTCTTATTCCTCTTCCTCTCCTTCCTCTCTCCTCTTCCTTTATCCCCTCTCACCCTCTTCTCCTTCACCTTTCCTTCTTCCCTTCTTTATCTTTCATTCTCCCCTCTTCTCTCTTTCCTTTATCCCCCCTTACTCTCTCTATTATTCCTCCTTCCTCCCCCTTTCGTCCCTACATCCTCCCTTATCCCTTTCCTCCCTCTCCTCCTCCCCTTCCACACCCTCCCCCTCCCCCACCTTTCCCCATCCCCCACCCCTTCTCCCCAGCCCCCCCTATCTCCCTTCCCCCCCCATCCCCCAAGGACGACCCCTCCCCAAGAAACGACTCCCTCCCCAAGAACGACCCCTTCCCAAGAACGACCCCCCTCCCCACGACAAGGACGACCCCCTTCCCTAAGGAACGACCTTCCCTTTCCCCAAGGACGATCCCCCCCAGAACGACCCTTCCCCAAGAACGACCTCCTTCCAAGGACGACCTCCCTCAACACGACCCCCTCCCAAAACGACCCTCCCAAGGACGACCCCTTCCCCAAGGACGACCCCTCCCCAAGAACGACCCCTCCCCAAGAACGACCCCCTTCCCGCAAGACGACCCCCTCCCCAAGAACGACGCCCCTTCCCCCGGCCCCTTCCCAAGGAACGACCCCTCCCAAGGACGATCAAGAGCGACTCCTCAAGAACGACCCCTCCCAAGGACGACCCCCTCCCAAACGACCCCTCCCCAAGAACGACCCTTCCCAACAGAACGACCCCTTCCCCAAGAACGACCTCCCCCCCAAGGACGACCCCTCCAAGAACCCCCCCAAGCGACCCTCCCCAAGGACGACCCTCCCGCAAGAAGGCCCAAGGACGACCTCCTCCGACCCCCTTCCCCAAGAAACGACCCCTCGAACCCCCCTCCCCAAGAACGACCCCTTCCCCGACCCCTCCAAGGACGACCCTCCCAAGGACGACCCCCTCCCCAAGGACGACCCCCTCCCCAAGAACGCCCCCTTCCCCAAGAACGACCTTCCCCAAGAACGCCCCTTTCCCAAGAACGACCTCCTTCCAAGGACGACCTCCTCACAGCGACCCCTCCCCAAGGACGACCCCTTCCCCAAGACGATCCCTTCCCCAAGAACGACCCTTCCAAAACGACCCTTTCCAAGACCGACCCCTTCCCCAAGAACGACCTCTTCCAAGGACGACCTCCTCAACAGCGACCTCCCCCAAGGACGACTTCCCGATCCCTCCCCATGAACGACCCCCCAAAGGACGACCCCCCCAAGAACGACCCCTTCCCCAAGAACGGACGACCCTCCTCCCAAGGAGACCCCTCCCAAGAACCCCCCCTCCCCAAGAACGACCCCCCCCGACCCCTCTCCCTGAACAAAGACCCTCTCCTGTAAGTCTGGAAGGTCGTGCGGACGTGTGGTCGTGACGTCATTCTGGGTAAACTGATGGGCATGAACAGATGAAGATGGGTGGGGGTTGGGGTGGGGGTTGATAGGTTGGGGTGGGGGGTGAGAGTGGGGATGGGGGTGGGATGATTGGGTGGGAGGGGGGGGCGGTAGGGGAGAGTGGGTGGGGCGTGGGGAGAGGTGTGTTTTTTTTAAGGAAGGTGGGGGAGGGGGGAAGGGGAGAGTCGTGTAGGGGTGTGAAGAGGGGTTTGAGTAGGAGTGAAGGGAATGAAAGATGGGGTGACGAGGTGAGTAGAAAGGGGTGATAATGTGTGTTAGTGGGGGTGTGGATTTAAGGAAGGGCAATGGGGTGAGTGAGTGGGGTGTAGGAATTAAGAAAATGTGATTGGGGAGGGGGAAGTGTGTGAGGAGGTTAAACAAATAGCGAGAGGATGTGGGTGTTAAATGGTTAATCAAAGACTAGGAATGGAGTGTGGGTAATTAGCATATGGGGGAGGAGGAGTGTGGGGGTAAGTAGGGGGCTAAAAGATGTGGGGGCAAGAGGGTAAAGATAACGAAGGGGGGAGTTAAAGGGAGGAGGAAAATGGGATTTAAAAGGGCATAGGAAAGAGTGTAAGACTTAAGGGGAAGGGCGAGGGTGGGGGGGGGGGGGGGTGCTGATGACTGGGGAGGAGGGTGGGATGAAGGGGGAGGGGAGGGTTAAAGGGAATTTGTAGGAAGAGGAGGTGATAGGTGAAGGGAAGATGGGGAGATGGGGAGAAAAAAGGAAGAGGAGGAAGAGCAAGAAAAGAAATGATCTTTAATCCTCCTCCTCCATCTCCTCTTCTTGTTATTATTATTATTATTATTATTATTATTGTTATCATTGTTATTGTTATTATTATTATCATCATCATTATTTTGATAACTATTTTTATCATTATTATTATCAACATTATTAATATCATAATTATTACTATTATTATTATCATCATTATTATTAATATCATTGTCATTATTATCACTATTGTTATTATTATCATTATTATCATTATCATTTTTCTTATTCCTCTCCTTCTCTCCTCCTACTCCTCCTCCTTTCTCTTTTCCTCTTTTCTCTATTGTCCTCCTCCTTCTTCTTCTCCTTTTTTCCTCCTCCTTCTCCTTCTCCTTTTCCTCCTCCTCTTCCTCCTTTTCTCTCCCGTATTTTAACCCTCTTCTTTCTCCCTTATTTCACCCTCTTCTTGTGCTTATTTTAACCTCCCTTTCCCCCCTCTCCCCCTTTCTTAATCTCCCCCCATGACCTTCCCCTTATTTCAGGTCCAAGTCCTTCTTACCCCTTTATCTTAAGTCTTTCTTCTTTCGTGAACTCCTCCTCCCCCTCCTGTTCTTTCCTTTATTTTGATTTTCTCTTTCTTCCCCTTGTCTTCATCTTCCCTTTCTTCCCCTTGTTTTCATCTCCACTTCTCTTCCTTGTTTCCTCCTCTTCCTCTTTCTCTCCCTTGTCTTCATTCTCCCTCTTTCTTCCCCTTATCTTCATTCTCTTCTTTCTCTCTCTTGTTTCCTCTCTCCTCTTTATTTTAACTCCCTCCTCTCTCTTCACTCTCCCCCTACCCCTCTTATCTTATTTCTTCTCTCCCTCCCTATTTGAACTATTTCTCCCTTACCCCTCCTCTCCTCACTCTCATTTTGAACATTTACTCCTCTCCCCCTCCCTTCCTTCCTCACCCTCATTTTAAAACCTCCTCCCTTAACCTCATTTAAACCTTCCCTCCTTCCCTCCTCCTTCCCTCCCCCTCATTTTGAACCCTCCCCCACCCACCTAACCTCACCTACCCCCCTCCTCCCTCTCTCCCCTTCATTTTAAACCCCTCCCCTACCCTTCCTCCTCCTCATTTTGAACTCCTCTCCCCTTCTCCTTTCCCTCCTCCCTCCCCTCCAACGCCCTCCCCTCATTTTGAACCCCTCCTCCCTTCCCTTCCCTCCTTTCCCCCTCCCCCCCCCTCCCCTCCCCCCCTCCTCCCCCCCCTCCCTCCCACCCCCCGCCACCGAGACCCTCCCTTTGTTTATTCAAGGAGAGATTTATCCGCATATATTTCCGAAACAAAAACCCAAGAATCTATAATGCTTGTCAGGTGCTCGGGTTCGAACCGGCGATCACGGGCCTTTGGGGCTCCGGGTAATGCCATTTATTTTTCCCCGATCGCTAAGTTCGGGGGAATTAATGGGGGGGGATGGGGGAGGGAGAGGGGAGAGGAGGGGGGATGGGGATGGGGAGAGAGGGGAGGGGAGGGAAGGTGGGGAAGAGGAAGGGCGGGGAAGGGGAAGGGGAAGGGGAAGGGGAAGGGGAAAGGGGAAAGTTGGGAGGGATGGGGAAGAGAGATTAGAAGCGGGGAGAGAGGAGGGGAAATAGGGAAGGAAAAGAGGGAGGAATGGGACGGGGAATAGAGAGAGGGAGGGGAAGAAAGTGGAGATAAAGAGGAGGGAGGAAGAAGCAAAAAGAGAAAGAGAAGGAGTTGGGGGAGATAGGGAGAGAAGAATGACAAGGAAATAAGAGGGAAAGAAATGAGAGGGAGAGAAAGAGAGAAGATGTAGAAGGGAGAGATAAATAGGGAGAAGGGAGAAACGAGAAGCAGAGAGGGCGTAGGGCGTAGGTGGGGGGGGGGGGAGGGGAGGGAGTCGCTATCATCGATATAGTAATTATAAATGTTTAATATAGCTGGGGGGGGGGGGTGGAGAGGGGAAGGGGGTGTGGTGAGGTCTTAATCAAGGAGGAATTTTTTTGTGGAGATTATTTCATTTGAAGAGAAGAAGAAGAAGAAGAAGAAGAAGTAGAAGAAGAAGAAGAAGAAGAAGAAGAAGAAGAAGAAGAAGAAGAAGAAGAAGAAGAAGAAGGAGAAGAGATGATGATGATGATGATGAAGAAAAAGAAGATGATAATGGTGAAGAAGATGAAAAAGAAGAATAAGAATAAGAAAATGAAAGAGAAGAAGAAGAAGAAGGAGAATAATAATAATAAGAAGAAGAATAAAAAGAAGAGGAGGAGGAGACGAGGAGAAAGACGAAACGAGGAGGAAGACGAGACGAAAAGAAGAAGAAGAAGAAGAAGAAGAAGGGGAGGAGGAGGAGGAAGAAGAAGAAGGGGAATAGGAGGAAGAGGAGAGGAGGAGAAAAAGGAGAGGAGGAGAAAGAGGAAAGGAGGGGGAAGAGGAGAGGAGGAGAAGAAGAAGAAGAAAGGGGGAGGATAATGAGGATGAACAAGGAAAAAAAGAAAAAGAAAAAGGAGGAGAAGAAGAAGATAATGAAGGGGAGGAGGTGGAAGAAAAAAAGAAAAGGGGAAGAAAAAGAAGAGGAGGAGGAGAGGGAGAAGGAGGAAGAAGGAGAAAAAGAGGAGGAGGAAGAGCACGGGAAATAGGAGAATGAGGAGGAAAAGGAAGAGGAGGAGGAGGACAAGATAGAAGAAGAATAAGGAGAAGAAGAGGAAAATGATGAAGAAGTAGAAGTAAAAGTAAATCAAAAAAGGAAAAAGAAGAGGAAGGAGAAGAAAGAAAGAAAATGATGATAATCATACTAGTAATAATAATACTTATCATAATGATAATAATAAATAATAAATAATAATAATAATAAGAGTAAAAATAAGAATAAGAAGTTAAGAAGCATAAAGAAAGAATAAGATGAACAAAGTAAAAAAAAAAGACGTAGGAAGAAGAGAGACAAGAAAATAAATTCAACCTCTAAACCCATTTTTCTCAAAAAAAAAAAAAAAAAAAAAAAAAGAACATCGTTGTGCAGGTAAACACGACTTCGGTAAACCACAAGTTATCTGAGGTATGAGGTATGAGGCTGGGATGAGGGGGGGGGTATGAGGGAGAGGAGGGCCTAGGGTATGGGTATGAGGAGGTGGGGAGGGAGAGAGAGAGAACGAGAAAGAGAGAGAGAGAAGAAGAGAGCGAGACAGACAGACAGACAGAGACAGAGAGGAGAGAGAGAGAGAGAGAGAGAGAGGAGAGAGAGAGAGAGAGAGAGAGAGAGAGAAGAGAGAGAGAGAGAGAGAGAGAGGAGAGAGAGAGAGACAGAGAGACAGAGAGAGAGAGAGAGAGAGAGAGAGAGAGAGAGAGAAAGAAAAAGAAAGAAAAGAGAGAGAAAGAAAGAGAGAGAGAGAGAGAGAGAGAGAGAGAGAGAGAGAGAGAGAGAGAGAGAGAGAGAGAGAGAGAGAGAGAGAGAGAGAGAGAGAGAGAGAGAGAGAGAGAGCGATTGAACAGATAGATAGATAGACAGAATAGATAGATAGATAGATAGATAGATAGAGAGAGAGAGAGAGAGAGAGGAGGAGAGAGAGAGAGAGAGAGAGAGAGAGAGAGAGAGAGAGAGAGAGAGAGAGAAGAGAGAGAGAGAGAGAGAGAGACAGAGGCAGAGAGAGAGAGAGCGAGAGAGAGAGCGATTGACAGATAGATAGATAGACAGATAGATAGATAGATAGATAGATAGATAGAGAGGAGAGAGAGAAGACAGAGGCAGAGAGAGAAAGAGAGAGAGAGAGCGCGACAGATAGAAGATCAGATGATAGATAGATAGATAGATAGAGGAGAGAGAGAGAGAGAGAGAGAGAGAGAGAGAGAAGAGAGAGAGAGAGAGAGAGAGAGAGAGAGAGAGAGAGAGAGAGAGACAGAGACGAGACAGAGCAGAGCAGAGAGAGAGCGAGGAAGAGCGAGCGGGAGAGCGTTGAAGGGGGCGCCCGCGCGGGATCACATCTCACTTCCCGCCAACCTGTACTTACCGGCTGATCCATCACAGCGCCATCTATAGCGGGCGATTGTGTCAGCGCCCCGTCTCGTTTTTGCCCTTATATTTTCCCTC